AGATGCATTTGTGCCCAGGCTTTGGAAGCAAGTGCATGCTATCAATTGTTCTAACAAAGATTCCAATAGTATTAGCTGACTACAAAGCAGTTTGGAATGAATATAATGTGGCTTCTTTGCTTTTACTGGGATTAGGGGAAATAAAACACCCAATTTAAGTTAAAAAGAAAACATAATCAGAACACTGAAGTCCAATTCTTTATTGTTTCAGTTATTCTAAAGGTTTTTTTTCATATCCTATAACTTTTAGGCGGAGAAAAAAGTACAAGGAAGGTGATGTAAAACTTTCAAATTTTGAAATGTAAAATTGAAAATGTAAAAATATGGGAAGACAAACCCACTACAACATTGAAATGAAAAATGAATGAGAGGGAATTGGTGCATGATTTTTCTGTAAAATATTATGTTCTCTTTAATATATATATATGTATATATTCAATAAAGATATCAGAATATCTATGCAACACTCTGGTGTCTAAAAGAGTGTACCCTAAAAGAGTGCAAAAAATGTGAGAAAAGGAGGAAAAATTAAAAAGAAAAATACAGAGCGTGCAGTTCACTAAGGAAACATCAAAGCAAAATTAAAAGAAGAATATGAAAAAGTATTTAATTGTGAAGATGCTAGGAGAAAAAATATACAACTGAAAATTAAATGGACACCAGAGATCCAGGAAGGAGAACTGTTTCTCTTTAGAGGATGTCCCGTGTGAACAACAACAGACTTCATCCTGATTGTAGGATAGCTGACATGCTCTAGTATTTCTAATTGTCTATTTGGCTTTGTTTTTATTATGATGAACAAGAAGAATAGAGATTGAGATGATTTTCTGTTTTCACATCCTGGAATTTTAGGATACTGGATTTGAATTATGTTATCCCCAAAAGCAAGATTTCAACAAACATGGATGGGTTCTTCACAGCGAGGTTTAAATAATCTCTGTAAGATGCTCCGTTTTGTGGCTGGGTCCAGCAGATTCAAGTGACTTCTCCATCTTGGATTCATTTTGGTCACAAATGGAATTCATAGGACAGAAAGATGAAGGAAATCTCACTACACTGGTAGAATTCATCCTGTTTGGGTTTTCTGGTGTTCCTGACCTTCAAGGATTTCTTTTTGGGGTGTTTTTGATCATTTATATGATAATCCTGATTGGGAACAGCCTCATTATCATACTAACTAAGGTTGATACTTCCCTTCAGACCCCCATGTACTTTTTCCTTGGAAATTTTTCCTTCCTGGAAATATGTTATGTGTCAGTGACTGTTCCCAAATTGTTAGCAGATCTTTGTAGACAGAATAGAAAAATTTCCTTCCTTGCTTGTGCTATTCAAATGTATTTCTTTCTGGTCTTTGGGGCCACTGAGTGCTTCCTTCTGACAGCAATGGCTTATGACAGGTATGTGGCCATTTGTAACCCATTACTCTATCCCCTCATCATGAATACCCGACTGTGTATTCAACTGGCAGCTGGCTGTTGGATCATTGGCGTTCCAGTCCACATCGGGTTCACCTACCTGATCTTCTCTCTACCCTTCTGTGGACCTAACCAGCTGGATCACTTTTTCTGTGACATACCTCCAATACTGAAACTGGCTTGTGGGAACACTTCGATGATTGAGACGTTGATTTATGTGATTGCAGTACTGGTTGTCACTGTTCCTTTCATGTTGATACTTGGATCTTATGTCAAAATAATTTCAACTATCCAGAAGCTACCATCAGCAACAGGGCGGGCCAAGGCCTTCTCCACCTGTTCTTCCCACCTCGTGGTGGTAGCTTTATTCTTTGGATCAGGAATCATTACATACATGAGACCAAAGGCCACTCATTCACTGGGCATGGAGAAATTCCTTTCTCTTTTTTATACCATTGTGACACCAATGTTTAACCCCGTGATTTATTGCCTGAGGAACAAAGATGTCACGGTGGCACTGAGCAAACTTCTATCAAAATGGATTGTGTGATGATCTACATGTGTGGTTTTGCAAATCCATTCTTTATTTGCTGTACTCTTGACGAATTTATTTTTGGTTCTTTGTCCAAAATTCTAAAACATCTTAATTTTTCTCAAAACGTTATTTCATACTTATTTCAGTTCACCATCAAACCAAGTTAGTGCCTCTTTTCAAACAATGAATGAACTCTATTCTTTAATATATTCTTACGGTGAAAAAAAGCAGTCCTGTTTGCAACTCAATCCAAGATACTGAAGTTTCTGAAATTCCAAATTGTTAACAACTTTTAAGTTTCTTGGAAAACACATTTTACACACATACACACACACACACAAACACACTTTTCATCTTTATGTATCTAGAGCACCCACTATTATCTAGGTTTAACAGATATTTAAGTGATTTTTGTAAAATTAAAAGGATAATTATAAGCAAAGGCTTAGCACCTCATTATCAAAAATTGATTATAAGCAGGAAGGTTTATATAAAAAAGAGAAGGAAGAGAGTGTGTAAACAAAGATATCTGAATATCTAATACAACAAATTTTATATGAAGCCATTAAATGTAAGCTCTGGACTGTGTGAGAATCACTTTCCCCCGCCTTGCCACCATCCCCTCCACTCCATTCATCTTGAGGTAGAATTCAGATATTTATTTCTTGTAGAAATTTAATGCCACTAGTGGTTATGTGTCTGGGCCATAAACTCCAAGGCCAGTAGTTCAAAACCACCAGCTACTCTGCAGCAGAAAGATGGGCTTTCCTACTCCTCTGAAGGGTTATTCTATAGGGTCTCTAAAAGTAGGAAAACGCTGGATGAGAGTGAAGTTTTCTTTTGTTCTCTTTTATTTTGTATTTTTGGGGTCATAATAACAAAGTAATATTTACTGACATATGTGTGAAATACTAGAAATGGTAAATGTAAATGTTAACTTCAAAATAGAAGATAATTTGAGAATTTAAAATGCTCTCTTTGATTCTGCAGCAGCATTCAGGTCAGGTAAGTAAAACTAAGAAGAGTTGTGCAAATGTTTAATGCACTTAGTTACTAACCAAAAATTTGGAGGTCTGAATCCACACAGGAGAACGTCCTGGTGATAAACTTCTGAAACATCAGACACTGAAAATCCTACGAAGCTCAGCTTTAGTGTGACAAACACATGATCGTCACAAGCTGGAATCCACTTAAGGGCAACTGGTTAGCTTGAGATAAATTAATTCCATCAAACTAAACAAAGGATGTAAATTTTTACAGGCACAGAAAGCTGCTTCTTTCTCCTGTAAGGGCCCTGGTAGGTTTCAAATTGCTGAGATTAGCAGTTCAATGAGCCTGCCACTTCAAACCACAGAGGTTCTTTTGATAAGTTAAAGAGAGATATAATTAGCCTTAAAATATTATTTTTAAAAAGAGGCAAACATAAAGAAAGGTAAAATGGGAACCATGAAATGATTTAATTAATAAAAAAATGGACCAAGAAAATAGAGGAGGGGCAATAAATCAAACAAACAACAATAAAATCTTGAAGCAAATGTCAAATGGTTGAACTCAAATATATGAGGGGCTTTAAAGAGTTTATGGAAAATTTCTATTACATTTAATTCCATTGTCTCAGCACACTTTACTTACATCATAATGACAGCAAATGCAACCAGATGAGCATTTCGTTGAATAATGTAATTTTTTAGCTTCCATAAAGTAGAGTTCAACTCATAGGAGTTCCACTGAAGGAAACACTGCCCGACTCTGCATCATCCTCAATGAATAATGGATAGATATTAACAAAACAAACAAACAAAGAAACAGAGCCTGTCACATCGACCTGATCTTTAGGGAAATAGATGTAATGTGCTTGAAAATAAAAGGAGAAGGGAAATATTGAGCACAAGCAGGATGGTATGATTATTGATATCAGTTGAAGGAGAATTCAAGATAGTGTTGCTTAAGATAAACAAGGGTGTTTCGTAATGATAGTCCATTAGTCAAACAATTATGAGGACTCTAAATGTGTTGACACTGAAAGAATGGTCAACATTAACAACAATCGTCAATTAAAACTAAGTCAGGAGTAACAACCGTAAGAAATAGCAACAAGAACATTAACAGAACTCAGAAAGGTAAAGATAGAGTTGAAATATATGAAAGTAAAGAAAATAAACATAAACTCACTATAGATTAAGGCTATGGTGGTTGAGATTTTAAAAACTCAGTACAAATAAACGAGTTTTGCAAGGTATCAGATTTGAAGATCAGTATAGAAAAATAAATTGAATTTCCAAATAGTAGAAAGGAAAAATCAGAAATTATCATTTTCAAGATACCATCAAATAGTAAAATTATGATATACTTTGGAGAAAATCCAGCAAAAATATAAAAATCTGCAGAATATTGATGATAGCTAGTAAAACCAGAAAATAAAATGAAACTTGATGCTTTATGGGCTCAGTATTAAGATAAATTCTCCCCAAATTGATCTTCCAATAATCTGAACATAATCCCAATCAAAATGGAAACATTTTTATTTATAGTAAAATAATTTTAAAATTAATATGAAAATACAAATGACTTGGGATACTCAAAGCAAACTTGGAAAAGAAATACAATGTTGAAGAATTACACTTGTTGAATTATCTCCATAATAATGCAATAATCAACTAACTACCATTTCGATAAAAACAAGACAATATATTAACAGAAATCAGAGTCCAGAAATCAACCACCATACATTTCAACACTTAATTTTATCAAAGGTACAAAGGCAATTCACTGAAGAGAGAATGTCCTTTTTTGCACACTTGTGAAACAATATATCTATATTAAACATAGACCAATAAAAGCTAAAACAAAGTAATTTTAACTCAAATCTTAGACCAAAGAAAATAATTAGGATAAAATGAATCATACCTCTAAATGTAAGAGCTAAAACTAAAACTTTCAGGAAAACATTGAAGTTGCTGATGACAAGGATTTCATTCTACTTAGACCCACAATGGATGCCTATGAAGCAAGCAACGTATCAAATGACATTTGCACGTGTTACAAAAGACCTTTTTAAAGTGTCTAAAAGAAGGATGTCACTTTGAGGACCAAGGTGTGCCGGAGTAAGTCATGTTTCTCATGTGCATGCAAAAGCAGGACACTCAATATGGAAGAATGAATAAAAATGGATGCATTAGAATTACGGGTTTGGGGAATCATACTGAATATATTAACCAGCAAATCTGTATTAGAAGTGTAGCCAGCATGATTTTTAGAAGCAAGGATGATGAAATTTGGTCTCACATAACTTTGGACATGGCATCAGGTAGAACTAGTTTCTGGAGAAGGGTATTATGCATGATAAAAGAATGTTGTAGAAAAAGAGGAAGCCCTTTAAAGACATGTCTTGACACTGAGGCTGCAATGATGAACACAAACACAACAATGCTTACATGCACAAAGCAGAAATGAACAATGTTTCATTCTGTTGCAGAGAAGGCCACTGTGAGCAGAATTGAATTGACTTCACAGCTCCTAACAACAATAGCAGTAACAACATTGTTTCTTGGGGATGGGAAAAGATTACACCAAAAGCATGATTTTTTTTAAATGGTAAATTGTACTTCACCACAATTAAAAAGTGCTCTTCTGAACAGACATGGTTAAGAGAATAGAAAAATGAATGCCAACTTGGAGAAAATAGATCTAATTCATATATTTGATACTAAGTCTGTATGTATGATTTATAGCCTATGTAACTTTAAATTTAACAAAATAATTGAACATCTTTTTGCTAAAAAATTAGGATGGGGAAAATGCTCAATATCGTTAGTAATTGTTGTGGTTTTATGGTGCTATCTACTAGGTCCACCTCAAGATGTACTATGCACACTGTCTGGTCCTGTGCCATCCCCACAATTATTATGTTTGACCCATTATTTCAGCTATTGTGTTAATCCACTGCTTTGATGGTCATCGTCTTTATTAGCGACTGTCTATTTTACCAAGCATGATGTGCACTATGAAAATGCAAATAATAGCTATCAGAGCACACATGAATTAGCAAAGATAAATGATTAGAATTCTAATATGCTCCTGATGAGAATGTGAGTTGTTATAGCTATATCAAGAAACAAGTTTGGCCCTTTCTTAGACAAGGTCCCTTCCTGCCTTGGGAACCTTCTGGACTCTGGAACGTCGATGCCAAGACTCATTCATGGAGATCTCCAAGGAATAGGGCACTCCAGATGTTGAAAAGAGACCACTCCCTCCCACTACAGATGACCAACTAAAAACCTGTTTTAAATGTCTCCAAACGAATTCACCTTGCCTATGATAAAATAAACATTTCTCTGTAAAGCTATCAAAACCATACTAGACATACAACATAAGATCTTTCCAGTTTGCTTTCTGTTGTTCTTCATATAACAATGAAAGTTTATGCTCGTATAAGAACTTATAGATATTTGCTCAAGTAGCTTTATTTGTAATAGCCAAAAATATGGAGGCATGTTCAAATGGAAATCAACAAGAGAATAAACATACCCTGGTATAGCCAGACCAAAGAATATTATTTAACATCTTTGAAGATTGAATAATTTATACATGAAAGGATATGAATGATACTCAAAATAATTATGCTGAGTGAAAGTAGATGTTCAAAAAATACTACATATAGAATTGTTACTAGTTGAAACCCATAGGCATTCTATGTACAACAGTA